CCCCGCTCACGCGCGTAACTCTTGTGTCTGTAGCCAACCAGGTTTGGGATAACGTGACATGTGCTTGACTTTCATGTGACGAATAGACAGCGCAGCAGTAGGCAACGTTGCAGATGGATGTAGCAGGCATATGTGAATGCCTTTCAGCGAAGCTAGGTCTGCAGGTTCGAACTTGCCCAGATCATGATGGATAGCATGTTCTTCTGCGGTCTGCGCCCGCTTCAAGTTGAGCCTGCTGCAATGCAGATCCATGTAAACTGATGGCATTCAGCGAAATCTCGAGAAGCGGCGTTCGCCCAGCATCTGACAGGCTATGGTCCTTATACCTACATTCGGGCGTTTAAATCATTTCGCAATGGGGCCATTGCGATGACTACCTTACATGCGCTGCAGAAAGCTTAGTTGAGTTCGTAGCGCCAGAGAGGGTCTGCCATCCGTTACATGTTTTCACGGGTTTACGGCACGGCGCGCCAGAAGCACCTGAAATCCGCGTTAAATAATTCCTGAACAGCAACATTTCCCGGATCCTCAAACGAGAAGGCCCTCCCAGGGCGTGTGGAGTGGTGGTTTCCAGGGCTGACAGCACGGCCCGCAGGCAGGAGCCCCACTCCTATGTTTTCCTTAGCACCTACACTTCCCGGATTTCGAGATGGGAGGCCCTCCAAGGTCCGGAATGGTGGTTTGCAGGCCTTTACGGAGCTCCCGGCCAGAAACCCCTGGCACCCCCCAATGCAGACCTCGCCACTCGCGCTTTATGCAGACAAAACACTCAACTCTTTTTTGGATTCTTATGTTTTCCTCAGCACTACACTTCCCTGATTCCGGGATGGGGAGGTACTCCAGGGTCTGGAATGGTGGTTTCCAGGCCTTTGCGGCGCGGCCTGCCGGAAACCCCTTGGCCCCCAAATGCAGACCCTGCCACCTGACGACACCCTACTCCCCTTCAAACCATTATGTTTTACTTACCACCCACACTTCCTGGCTTCCGAGATGGAGAAGGCCTCCAAGGTCTGGAATGGCGGTTCGCAGGCCTTTACGGAGCTCCCTGCCGGAAACCCCTGGCGCCCCCCAATGCAGACCTCGGAGACAAGACACCCCAATTCTTTTCCTCCCGGATTCCGATGGGGAGGCACTCCAAGGTATGGAATGGTGTTTTCCAGGCCTTTACGGCGCGGCCTGCCGGAAACCCCTAGCGCCCCCCACCCCTGCCACTCTTCGATTTCCTTCAGATTAGACATTCTACTCACTTAAAAAATAAATCCCTCAGCGCCACTTCCCGGATTCCCAGATAAAGAGGTGGCTTCTCGGATTTTACGGCGCACCCAGCCGGACCGTCACCATTCAGACCCTGCCACAATTTTCTATGTTCCTCCGCGTCCAGACTGAGCGCCTTACGCAGCCTACAACCATACTCATGCCTTCGGCACCTACATACAGCTCCCAGATGTCCTCGCGGGTCAGCTTTCCAGGGTCTGGGATGTATATGCGCCAAGATCTTTAGCCTTGAGTCTTGCATACTCTTGCTGCGTAGTATGGCCAGACTGGACAAGTTCTGGTGTTGACGGCTCCGTGTAAAATGTGCAGAGCTCTAAAGCTCAGCCCCGTGAAGTTGC